AGGGATTAAAATCAGATTAAAATTGAAAATATAGTCGTTATTGTTGACTTTTATTAGACGGGTGGGACCCAATAACGGCCATATTTTCAATTTTAATTGGATTTTAAGCCCTCCCAAACAGGGCCTAAATATAAACTAGGTAAACGTGCATTGCACGTTGCTTGCACCTAGTAATAAATATAAGTGTTGCCAATTATATTTTTTCTCCTTTCAAAGAATGCAAAAAGAATATTTTAGCAGAAGTCGCAGTTAAGGATTTGATGTGCTAATTAATAGAAAATTGAAAATAAATAACGACGAAAAGAAATTAAAGAAAAATGTTATATTGAGAAAAGATTGAGGACTTGAGTGAAATTAGTATTTTTCTATTCGACTTCTTCTCCTAATCCTTTAAAGAACTGTATATCGCGGCTAATCATTCATTCTGTCTACTAAAATGGACGGCGGCTTGTGCATAAACGATAGTCTTGGAGACGATGAGCTTCGGGCGGTGCTGTCAAAGGTCGAGCACGACAGGGACAAGGAAGTGTTCGGGCTGGTGTGCAAGCGATGGCTCCGTTTACAGAGCACCGAGAGGAGGAAGCTTTGTGCTCGTGCCGGCCCTGACATGCTCAACAGAATCGCTGCTCGATTCACGCACTTGCACGAGCTTGATCTGTCGCAGTCGGTGTCGAGGTCGTTTTATCCTGGCGTCACTGACTCGGATCTTTCCGTTATTGCCGCTGCCTTTTCGTCCTTGCGAATTCTCAACCTTCAGAATTGCAAAGGTCAATTCCTCATTTAACTAAATGATCTTTTTCACTACCTGCTTGTGTATTATTATTATTATTATTATTTACTATTTCTGCATTTTTTTACTCAAAAAACAGTAAAAGAATATTCTTTGCCTTTTTTTTTGTTAATATATGAAATTCAGTGCGCGTAGTTTCAATTCCTGTAATTGTTGAAGCCTTGTTTTTTGGTGTTGAACATTTGATTGGAAAATAATTTTTGCGAGACTTTGATTTTGGCCAGTTTCTACTTGACAATAATATACTAGCTATTGAGATGAACTGACTTGGAGTTACAAAGTCATCTTAAATGAGCATTTTAATTTTTTGGGCATCTTTTATCACAGTAGGATGGAATTTTTCTTTTACTTTGAAATAATTAAATGAGGAATCATAATTTTTTTTTTAGCCTAGAATACTGGATTATAATATGGATTTACATTTCTCTGCATATATAGTAGGCAACTCAAGTTGTACAATGAAGATTGAAGAAAGGGGTTTCACGAATCAAATAATCCTTTTCTAATTTAGAATTAGAGGACGGAAAACCGGGTTTAAGTAGTGCTCCACCTAGGCATATAACCATATTTATCTACACAACTTAGAAATGATTCTTCTTCATTTAAGAATGATGAAGAAAGATATTTGATTTTAACTAAAATTATATGCAAAGCATGATGAAGTTGAAAATTTCTATGAACTTTAATGTGGAACTTCTGTTGGATGCATAACTGATAGGTGAATTGTTGGTGTAGCACAGGTATATCAGATACTGGAATGGCAGCTATTGGATCTGGGCTTTCTTCCCTGCAGTCTTTAGATGTATCCTACTGCAGAAAGCTTACAGATAAGGGTTTATCATCTGTTGCCCAGGGTTGCCCCAACCTCAGAGTGTTGCATCTTTCTGGTTGCAAATTTGTAACCGATGCTTTATTAATCTCTCTTTCAAAGAACTGCAATAATATAGAGGAATTGGGTTTCCAAGGATGCAGTAAATTAACTGACTTGGGAATAACTGTTCTTGTTGCGGGGTGTCAAAGGCTGAAACACTTAAATCTCAATAAGTGCAGTAACATTGGAGACATTGCTGTAACTAGTGTAGCAAAAGCTTGTTCATCATCACTTGGAACATTGAAGTTAATGGATTGCTGCAAGGTTGGGGATGAGTCTGTATTTTCCTTGGCCAAATACTGTGAAAATCTTGAGACACTCTTCATTGGTGGATGTCGGAACATATCTGATGAAGCCGTAAAATCATTGGCTTCGTCTTGTCATTGCAGTCTTAAGAATCTACGCATGGATTGGTGTTTACATGTTGCTGATACATCCTTGGACTGCATATTTTTGGTATGCAGGGAGCTTGAGGTTCTCGACGTTGGTTGCTGTGACGAGGTGACAGATGCAGCATTCCAGGGGTTAGGAAATGAAGATTTCAAGTTGAGTTTGAAAATATTGAGGGTGAGCAACTGTCCAAAAATTACAGTGGTAGGCATCAGCAAACTGTTGAAATCTTGTGAAAGTCTTGAGTATCTTGATGTGCGCTCATGCCCCCATATAACCAGAATGAGATGCGAGGAGGCTGGATTGCAGTTTCCGGAGAGATGTAAAGTGAATTTTGTTGGGGGTTTGGCCGAGCCAGATGTGTTATGCTGAGACTATGATTTGTGAATATATGGCAAGTTCTGTTACATTGAAGGTCCCTTTGTTTGGTTGGAGCTTTTCCGTCCCATTTTATTTTGCCCTAAATTATTGTTTATGTATTCTAGTGCTTTTGATTTCTTTTTCATTTATTTCTCTCCACATCTCTGCACTAGCATTTGTCATTTATATGTTCAATGAATTGGGTATCAATAACTAAGACATTTGTGAATATTTTTTGACGATTATTTCTATTTGATCTATGAATTGAGAATGTTTGAGGGAATTTATTGTTTAGACATTTGTAGAGAACTATTTTGTTAGCAACTCTGGATTTTGAGTGCAGTGTAAAGTGGGTTTTGAAAATAATGGTGTAAACGTTAAATTGGTCATTCAACTTATTTTCTTGAGCCATCGAAGTTTATTTTGGGTTTGACATTGACCCCTACATTAATATATTGATATGAAAAAGTAAGTACAAGGGGTGAAAATTGGCACCTTATCAGTTATACCTATGAAGTAGTATCGAATCTGTACTATGAGCAAGTTCAAATCCAAAGAATGAAATAATCAAATACAAATACATCAAGAGTCCTATTACAATCTGAGATTATGCAGCTCCATTTATCTAACTTCAACAATCCTATAAACGCTCCTTCAGCTCATGCAGATGCGAAGTATTTGCTAACCACTCAACCACTGCGTTCCCCTCTCTCTAAACGTTTGAGAACTACACTTAAACCTTTCTTTGCCAGTATTGAACTTTCTCCAGGTAGTACTGCATTGTCCACAACCAGTAGCTTTCTTATTGGTAAGACAAATACATGCTACTGAGTCCAATTCAACCCAAACTCACAACAAGCCGATCTGCATACATATACTCAACCTAGTACAATATACATGAGTTCAGCCTCCAAACTACATCAAAGAATTCATAATAGGCAAAAATGACATGCCCTTTATTATTCCTCAAAGCTCCCCTTCATCTGCCAGGTTAGAAGCCACTCTTTAGGCACCCATCAGTATTGAGTTTCAAAATATTGGAGGGTATTTTCCCCCAGTACACCACTTAAGGTTCCTTTAGATATAAGTTCTGCTTCTTCAAGGAGCACATGTGTACAGGGAGAAAATGCCAGGCCTTGTACAGGGGGACACTTGGCCATTTTTCATTGGACGTTGGGGAAAAAAAACCACCGTACAGGTGCAGCACTTGTACACTGCCTGTGTAGGTTGAACTAGCCCCCAATTTGAGTTAAAACAGTACTAAACTTTCCCAGTTAAGCCATTGATTTGCTTTACTTTCCTCTCAAACTCCCTTATGCCAGCAAAAATGTTTCCAAACTGATTTTCTTCCACCCTTTTAGACTGGATTTTTGTCTCTTCGGCTTATAGAATAGGCAAATAGGCTCTATGAATAAGGAAACAGAGTGGTTTCCAATTAGTATTCACCAACTCTCATAAATATGAAACCCAAGCATTCGATCTATTCATTAAAGATGCTTTAGTGCAAAAATCCTATTTGGGAGAATAATAAAGTTTTTGAACAGTGTGAAGTAATTTAAATGTACATCAATATATACATTGATTTTATTGTTAACAAAATTTATTGTATATTAACATCATCACCCAGAGGACAACTGCAATTTCTCGCCTAGTCCAGGCACAAAATCAGTAAACTTGTGTTGGTTAGTCTACAATTCTTGTTAGTTAGATATCTAGTCTTAGCTAGAACATTTCAAATAATATTTCATTGTTCATATTTCAAAAGCATATATTAACTGCACAAATCATTGGCTTTATTACAAATGTTCGGACTCTGAGAGGGCTCACTACAAAAATCTTTCTTCCTTCAGAACTGAGAAATAAAAAAAAGTTGCTTGGGGCTTTATGTTGAGTCTTTTAGTCTTTGAGAAGAATTATTTGCTCCAGAATCCCTTAATTTATGTCGAATCCTGGATTTGAAGTAAACCAGTGCATGCATAAAGATCTTCTAACGATTTGATTTGATTTTGATTTTGATGATGTCGTTATGGTGTACTAATGTATTTTGGTAGAAATAGACTAGTTTCTACATGCCTAAAAAAGAATAAAATTATCTTGTACTCCCACTAATTTAATTTTTGAGGTCTAATGATCAGCTAGAAAATGAAAACATATATACATATTAATGGATCATTATGTGGAGAATGAGGAGAAAGATGACGAACATCGACTTGAATTATTCAAGCCATTGATGAAAAGCGTCATTGCTGACCAAATTCATTTGGCGACGAAGTACATCAAGGACAGCGTACATGATTGTGTCCATAGGCCTTTATCACCATAAAGAACATAACCTGCAAGCATTGGAAGTGCACAAATTGTGGTACCTGCATTATTTTCTCGACCAAAGGAAGGATAGCATTGAGAGGTACTTTTTAGCCTCGAAAAGTTGAAACGTAGGGCTCTAAAATGTTATTCCAATCTATCTGATATTGATATTACTTGATGGTTGCTTTGTTGTTGAGTTTGTTAGAGGACATTCAGAATCCGGACATGAAGATAATGATGATGGTCCCATATTTACTGTGTATTGGATGAAAGTTCAGGTTTTTCGTGATTTGATGTTGCTAGAAAATCTGCTGCCTCATTTTGTTTTGTCCGAGCTCTTTGAAATGAGAAATTGTGGAAGTGAAGTATTAGACCAAATGCAGGGTGTAAAAGATCTTGAAGAAGCAGGAATAACATTAAAAAAATGGGAAAAGTTTATACAGAATTTGGTTCTTTGGATGCAAAAACCGGAAAGGATACTGTGAGCATATTTTGTTATAAAGTTCAATAAGAGGGTGATGGAAATTCCTTGTCTAAATGTGGAAGATTCGACCGAAACATTCCTGAGAAATCTGATTGCCCAGGAACAGCTTTGTCAGATGTGAATCCCAAATACTCGGCAGATTATACATTGTTCATGGATCAACTTACATAACACAGAAGCAAATGGTGATTGCGAATTTGTTGGGGGACAATTCTCGAGTGGCTGATCTATTTAACGAGCTTGGAGATGGGGTTATAACTTCATCAAATTCCTATTACTGGGAAGTATGCAAAGAGGTGAATAAACACTGGGGGAAGATGTGGAATGTGGTTATGGGTAGTGGTGTAGCTAGAACCCAGCAAGCCAGGACTGTCACCCGTGCTGGCTCCGTCGAAAATTTTTTAACTCAGATGAATTCTTGGATCCGCCACTATTTATGGCCAAATTGAGACATGATTATATCAACACTCCATGGGCCACTGTCCTCTTGCTTCTTCTACCATAGCATCATTTATACCATTGTTTTCCTTGCTATTCAATGCCCGGGAGCTTATGGTCATGTTCTATTTCACTCCCCCGTGGTGGTTCTTTACACCCTTCCTGATGTGCTTGATCTATGGATATCTACCACAGCTGTTTGATCTTGGTTGAGATAGTGGTGCCAATTGGTACAAGTCGTCCTCCCTTAACTAATTCCTAGATGCCAGAAAGAACTTGATCACCAGCTCGCCATTTCTTTTCATAAATCACCATCTGGTTGAAACATCCAAGCATGGTGGCTAAATGTTAGGAATAATATATTTTTTCAATCATGCTTGACGTAAGCATGACACCCCCTCACAATAGGGGGGGCTTCTTTTTGGAAGCGGGCCCCCCTCTATTGTGAGGGGAATGTAAACTTGGTGTACAAGGAGCTTAATTCACATTTTCTGCTAATTCCGAGGATTTTTCTCAAGTCCTCTTTTGCGCAGCCATCTTCATAGAAGCTGACCGGCTGATCCCAAGACCAAATTATATATGAACGATGCTACATGTGTGTACTTGAGTTTGCAGAATTTGGTGCATTGATCATGATAACACTTTTCCCAATCAATTGCCAAATTTGACATATAAGGTGTCAATCAAAATGTACACAAATAGTTTAATCCACTATTTATAGGTGTATTTTAAAATGGGCAATGCTTGGTGTACATAATTTTTTGTACATAGAGGTATCATTTCCCTCACATGGTACACATTTTTATGTACACTAAGAATAATTCTTTTAAAATTTATCATGACAATTTGAAATAACATGTAGATACATACAGCTTAATTACAAGCCAGACTTGTAATTTCTTTTTGTTTACACGAATGATTCCAAATTTTGTTTGGATATATATATGTAAATTTAATGTTCTTTCCACGTGATTTTGTAAATTGTTTTATTGCATATAGCCCGGAACAAAAAAACAAAAACAAAGGCGCCATTTTTCTCACTTCTTGAATCTTGTAACTACTAAACAGTCTCGAACAACATTACACAATAAAATAAACAAAATTTTAACTTCATTTTTTCAGCCGTATCTATTGATAGCCATCCCAATATGACAAACACACCACAAGATCATACGTAAAATAGAGCACCTGTTACTTGACTAGTCCAATAACCAAACGACTAGCAGTCCATTTTCTTTAAAGTGGCTGCTTGACGACGGAGTCATGCTTGATGAAGTACTGGAACTGTCGTCTACTGCAGCCATGAAATCCAACTATGCCCTTCAGCAATTATGGTTTCCCAGATTATCAAATCTTCATTTCCACTAAAAAATTCCAATATGGGATACTAACATATATGGCAATGGCATTAGTAAGATTATTGATGGGATACTAACAAACAGGACTTAATAACAGAAATGATTTTATCCATCTGCATTCCACGACTACCCTTAACCAAAACAACATCATCCCAATGTAATTTGCTAGCAAATCTGGAAACAAGTTCATCTGCATCGTAAGCATATACAAACTTCATCTCCTGACCAATGTTCAAATTCTCAGCTGCTGTCAAAAACCGTTTACCAACAAGTGCCACTAAATCAATTTGAGCATCTAGGCAATGCTGTAAAATCAATTCATGGAACTTGATCTCTTTTGGACCAAGTTCAAGCATGTCCCCAAGTATAGCAACTTTTCTGCCTTTGCACTCAATTGCTCTTAGTAAATCGATGGCACTTCTTGTGCTATCTGGGCTTGCATTATAAGCATCATTTACTATTTTGATACCATTATCAGCAATTTCAAGCTCTGACCTCCCATGAACAGGTATAAATGTTGAGAAGGATTTTCCGAATAGAGCAAGAGGAACTCCCAAGAATGTTGCAACAGCAGCCGCTGCACATGCATCCAGAGCCAAATGCAAACCTGGACTTGGAATCACAAATTTGACCCTGAACCCCAGCAGGGTGAAACAGATTATGCAATAAACTTTTTTTCATATAAATAAAACACCTCCAAGAAAAGATGTATTGGAACAAGGAGAGTGTGCATAAGTGGTGAAACATACATGCTTGATTAATTTTTTTATTTAGTACTTTTCAGAAGTGATAGGACTTCCTTAGAAAACTAGGAGGAAGATTTTCCAAAACAAATTGTTCAGATAAAAAAATTTACTTCCATAAATATCCATATTCTCATGTAAGCTTTTCAACATTTACTCTTGCCAAACTCAAAATTCTAGACTAAACCTTTTCAGAAGCTCATTCTGTAACTGCCTTTTATGCCAGATGGAACAGAGATGGACTAGAAGTTTATTGTAACATTTAGGGAAAAAACATTTATTCCATCTCACATTATCAAGTTGACAGATATTTTGATGGCAGATAATGTCACATAATTTTGACAGCATGGAATTCAGAAGTTGAAGTTGATTTTAAGAAAATTACAATCAAATTTAAATATCACACATCATTCGTTGGCTGAATGCCATTTTCAAAATATTCTTAAATATTCCCATGCTGCCTTGCACTAGAATTAAAGTATTTAGGTTATAAGAGTGACAATAAACTTACACTTCTTTATTCCTTTCTAAAACAACCTGCACTTTGTGACCTCCATCTATACTTTGTGCTGAAACTAACCGAACATCAGAGCCCTTTCTCCGACCAAAGAATACCTATATGCAAGTCATAACTCTGCATTAAATACTTGTTGGCACATGTAGAACCCTCTGAATAATAATTTCTAAAAGATTTGATTTCTCAGCATGAAGCAAGTCCAGTTTCCTCTAGGCATAATTTGGCTCCAATATAAAATTATGAAGGCCAATATGTTTACAAATTGCCTATAGCAAATCACAAAAGACAAACAATGATTTTGCCACTTGCTAGAAAAGACATAATTATCTTCGTTACTGAAAGCTGATTTTAAGTATGCAATTGAAAGAACCAAGGGAGCTTTCGAGTGTAGGATATGTAGATGAACGCAATGTCTGTCAATGAAAGCTAAAATACATTTCCACATCAAGATTGTTTCAACCTTTGCCCGTTCCATAACAATTCTTGGTTGATATCTCCATGGATTTCATTGAAGGTCAGCCAAAGTCCCATGGAAAAGCTTAGGAAAGAGATTTCAATTGAAAGGATGGAAGACCTTTTTAAATTTTTTTTTTTTTTCCCTGTGAAGAAAACAATTTTTCCATCTCCTTGGTCACGACGCTTTATCTACATCAACTCGTCCCCGAGGAACCTTGGTTAGTGACCTGTGTAGCAGCTGAATGTTACAATATAGCACATCTGTTTACATTCATGTCTTAATTCTCTTAAACCTGTCTTCTGATTATATTCAACATCTTACTGTTGCCTAGTGAGAAATAACTTCAAAAGAAAAAGAATTTTGGTGTGATTGCGAGTCCAACAAGCCTCAACTTGCTACGGCATTATGCCAATTTGTTGCCTTTGGGTGAAAATGATTTACTTGAGCTGGAATAGTTTATTAGGCATGTAATGGTTGTATCTAGATGAAAAGCTTCCGGTTCTTTGAGAAATTTTGTAACTATATTGAATTTCAGCAGAATATTTCTTCAAAATTCTTATCTAGTCCTTTCCATGAACATTTTCTCCTTAACTTTTGAGTAAAAAAGACATGCTCTTTGCTTGCATGATCTTTCTTTGCCACTGTTCAATGTTGCCAAAGAGTTCTAATCATTTTAACAAGAACTTACTGTGCTATGTGAAGAGGATGATAAAGAAAAAGGAAATTGTGTGGATACAAGTGCAGAGCATTCAAGGAAAATCTTAAGAGCTAAAACTAGATACAATTGCTCAAGAGAGGAAAAGCACTAAATGGTTAAGAAGCTGTTGAAGAATATTTTATAGTTTGGCTTCAGAACCAAGTGTGTCCTATCTTATCCAAAACGCATGAATATCACTATAGTCTATAGATCTGCATATTCCTATCAATCAGGATCTTGATCCCGAGGCATTGCATTGGCATTTAAAGCAATGTATTTAATTCTTATAATTTGACTACGGATATCTTTACTTTTCTGCTAAGTCCTTGGACTTCTAGTGATGATATAAAAAGGGAGAGGCAACAATCCGATTGCTGATATCCATTATATTTTGCTAATAGATTCTGCCTTATGATTGATCATATCCTTGCTATCAGAGGGAATTACAAGTATCCTGCTACCAAACAGAGTTATCGAACACAAGGGGCGATATCTTCCATTCTATTGATAGTCAGTGCTTGACATCATAAAAGGGTGTGTATGCGAGGAGGGTGGGGATTGTTAAGAAATGTATCTTTTGTATCAGATCCTGTCTATTTTCCAAATTCATGTTTCATCTACCCTTTAATCGAAAAACTGGTTCTCCAGTTAAAACTTTCAGTCATGCACACCAAAAGCTTACATAGCAAGTAACTACGCTATCAAAAGTTTAAAGTTAAAATCTCACCAACCTTCTTGACACCCATGGGGACAGGAAGACTCATGACAAGAGGGTCATCAGCATTCAAAACACAAATGTCCCCTGGCATTGCATCTCTCAAAATCTCCCCCTTTGCCATCGAAACCTCCTCCAAACTAGCGAAATTCTCCAAATGTGAAGCACCCACATTCAGAATCACCCTTACATTTGGCCTACACATCCTAGCAAGCTCCAATATTTCTCCTTTCTTGCACATTCCCAACTCTAACACCCCAAACCCCACATTCCTCGGCATCCCAATGAGAGTCAATGAAACCCCAACTTCATTATTCCAATTCCCATGGCTCTGATAAACAGTTCCTATGCTTTCTAAAGCCAATGCAATCATAGTTCTTGTGGTGGTCTTGCCCACACTCCCGGTTAACCCAATCAAGCAACCATTTATCCTGTTCCTTGCATAATGACCCAATCTTTTTAAAGAATTCAAAGTATTGCCATCGACTTGAACAAAACCCATGTCCCAGTCTTTGCAGACATGGTTGCTAATGACTCCAACGCAACCTTTGTAGGACAGCTCAGGGGTTATGAAACTGTGGGCATCATAGTTTTGGCCAACGAGGGGAAGGAACCATTGGCCCGGTTGAAGAGTCCTGGTATCAGTCGAGATTGTACCAGGTGGTCCCCACTTATTGATTCTACCATTTACAGCCTCTGCTATTTCAGTGGCTGTCCACTGTGGTGAATTTGATGAGCCAAAATGGGTAATTTGGGAAATGAACCTTCTTGGGTTTGTGGGTGGAGATGAGTTTGTTGTTGGTTTTATGGATATATATGAAGACGGAGGAACTGTCATCGGAGGCATGGATTGTTCGAAGACCACTACTAGGCCTAAGAATG